TCAATTAATTATTAAAAAATTTGAAAATTGAGTTACACGATGCTAATTTCATTTCTTAGCAATGAAATCATTTAATTTAATTTATTTAAAACTTTATCACTTATAATAAAAATTAATGCATACAATTAGATTAATGGGATAATTTTCAGAAGTAAAAATATTCATACAAGTTGATTACTGAAATGGAAATAAATTACTGGAAGTAAAAAAAAATCAAAAAAAAAAAAAAAAATGATTCGACTATTAGATAGATAAAGCAAAAAAGAAAACAAAGAAAGGACCGAAAAAAAAAAGCAAAAACTTGAATTACCTTTTCATTTTTTTACGCTTTTTTATTCATTTCTTTCTTTCTATTACAATTTAATAAGAATTGGTTTTAGCATATTTTTTTTTTTTTTTTATCGAATTTTGTTAAAAATTAAAAAAGGGCAAAAAAAAAAAAAAAAGTAGTAACAAATGTAAAGAAGAGCTGCAAAGTTGTTTTACATAATAAATAATTGATAGTTATAATGTGAAAATTATTGAAGAGATGAAGCAAAGGAGGAGTGAAGGAGGAAAAAAATTTTTTTTTCAAAAATGAAGAATTGATTGAAATATTACGAAGAAGGAAAGCAACATATCATTTTCTGTAGAAGTGAGGAATTAAAAAAAAGAAAGGAAAAATGAAAATTTCTAGATATGTAATATTTGAAAAATTAAAAAAAGCCTATTATTATTATTATTTGTTTGTCATAATTATTATTATCATTGTTATTACAACGATTATTTATTATTATTATTATTATTATTTATTTTCACTTTTCCGTTTTCAACGAAGATGAAGGAAAAAGAAGAAAAAATGATTGTTTCCATTCCATTTTCATTAATTTTTTTTTTTGCATTGTTTGGTTTTAGGAATAATTTTTTTGAGAATTGTAGGAAAAAATAAGAATGTTTATATTATATAACTTTCTAAATAACTATTTAAGAAACAAAAAATTTGTGTAATTATTTCATTATTATAATTATTATTTCTCAACAATGATAGTCGATTAATTTTAAATTAATTTCATTCAGCGTTGATTTGATGAGAAAATAACGAAATTTGAAATGTTGTCTACTATCATTTCATATTTTAACCTCTCGAATGTTTTTTAAAAAAATTTTTTTCGCTCTACCCTTTTTTAAAATACTTTTCAATACGAACGGATGGTGGAAAAATAAATTGTGCATAACAGCTGACACTGAAAGGAGAAACAAACAAATAAATAAATAATTAAACAATTAAATAAATGAAGACGAAATTTATAACATTTTTATTTATAGCGAAATTTATAGCAGATAGAGCTTAGTTAAATGAATTCTAAATTTTGCTATATTTTAATAATTCGAAAATATATCTGAATTGTATAAATAAAACTTATTAACATTATATTAATTACTAAGCATACACAAATTATATTTATTTTTTATTGTATTTTATTTTAAATTTTGTGATAATGGAAATGTGAAAAAATAAAAACAAAATTATTATTATTAAACGAATAAGATATGATAAGAATTGTTAGTAATGTTTTAATTTGATAAGTGAGAATGTATTGATACGATAAGGATTGTTAGCAATATTTTAATCTGATAAGGAAGAATATATGAAAATCATAATAATAGTAATATTTGTTGATATTAATGGTGATAATAATACTAGTAATAATAGTTAATTAATGATAGCATTAGTAATGATGTTAGTTTTGATATTACTGGGAGGGAATATAATATTAATATTATCATAATTATTTGTGATATGATATGAATGATACAAACCTTTTGTTTCTCTTACATATCTTATGGAAGATGTAGTTAAATTAGCCTCTGCTTCAGTTGCTTGTTCATCAGTAGAAGATGACATAATTTGAAGAAGAAAGCGGACAACAAACAAAATGAGCAAAACATTGAGGATCAAAGTCTTTAAATATCAACTAGAACATATTTTCTTCAACTTTTTCTCTTTTTTTTTTTTTTCACAACTATTATTTTCTGTTCAATTTTAACAAATCAATAGTAAAGCGAACAGAAAAAAAAAGTTTTTTTTTTTCTTTCAAGCTTAATCATACCTTTCTATTTCTCATTTTTTCTTTTGCTTCATCATTAAAACTAAGAAACAACAACAATTACGATATGATGGATAATTTTTAGTTGAAAATAAAAAAAAAAGAAAGAGATAAATTTATAGTTATATATAATAAGTACAATAATATAAGCTTATATTACATCAACTTACGATATGATAGAAACAAATGCAAGGGTTTAGATGAAAATTATTGTTTCATTTAATTCCAATTCATAAATGTTTATTTTGAAATATTTCACTGCTAATTTAATCGTTACCTTAGTGATTTTAAAATTATCTTTTCCCTCTCCTTTCCATCTCATTCTCTTTCAATTTTCTATCTTTTTTGGCTCCATGTATTTAATTTGAAACCATTTTCATTATTGATATTAACATCAATATATTATTTATTATTTTTCTTATTATCATTATCCGTTTTTTTGCTGTCATTATCATCTTTATTGTCACTTTGATTATTTAGTTTTGCTTTTCATTATTATCATCACAACTTATCAGCATTACTAAATTATCTCTTCCTATCTCTTCTTCTTCAACTTCCGGTATTTGTACTTCTGATAAATTTTCCAAATTGTTTTGCATTCCGTGTTGCATTCTTTTTTGCTAAATATTTCTCAATCATTTTGCAATTTCATTCTGTTCATCCCATTGCTAATTATGCTACTAATAGTGTCCTTTGCTAGTTTTTTTTATACCTCAAAAAATTTTCCGTTTCACTGTTTTATTCGAGACATCATGAATCATCGAATGGGATAACAACTGTGAAACTTTTTAACCATTCATTCCAGAGTTTAAATTACTTAAAATCATAGCATTTTTTGATATTGTTAAGCAGACAATTTTTTTTTTCCTTTTGTAATTAATTAGGCTTATTGGTTGAGAAAAAAAAAATCTTAAATTCAATAATGAAATTGAATCAATAAATGTTGAAATACACATTTATCATTATTAATAATTCTATCAAAAGAATTTCATCAAATTATTTCGAATTATTTCCAAGTTTTTCTTTTTCTTGCTATTAAAGCATTTATCCGTTTTCATTTACGAATTAATCACAAAGAGAGAGAGAAGAAAAGGAGAGGAAAAAAAAAAAGTGACAAATTTAATTAGAAAATAAATACCATGTAAATTTTGTATTATTTCTTTTGTGCTAAAAAAAAAAAAAAAAAAACGAGTGCTGCCAAGCAACATTTTGAAATTATTTCTAATTTTTACATCTTTTAGAAAGTTTTCATTTATTACTGTACATTTTGGATTTTTTTGAAATAAAAAATTGAAAAGAAATATCTGAAATTTATTTTATAGAATCCAAAAAAAAAAAAAAATTAAATGAAATTAATTTATTCTTTAAATATATAAATTTCAGCAGCATAATTTTACAATGAAAATAGCATTCATACATACATGTTTTCCAGTGATTGAAATTTTCAAAGTTTTAATTATTCCAAGGAACTGAAAAAAAAATAAATAAATAATATATATATACATGGATAAAATAGAGAAATTGCCTTCATTTATATTCAATCTTTTTTGAAAAAGTTGAAACAAAAAAAAAAAAAAAGAAAGAAAAAATGAAAATAGAAAAAGAGAAAATTAATAGGAAAGAGACGGAAGAAGAAACAGGATAAAACAGATAGATAGATAGATAGATAAATCAATTTCAAAGCATATTATTATTTGAAATTTTGTTTACCATGAAATGCGGTTATTGTGATAGTATATGATTGATCCGGTTTTTCACTGGAATAAAATAATGATGACGATAATAATTTTAGGTAACATGGAAATAAGTTGACAGATGACAATATGCATCTAATGCTTATGTTATAATTGAAATTATTAGTAAAACTTTATTTGCATCAAATTGAATTTAAACAAAAATAACAACGGTGAATAAAATTAGAATTATTGGATAGATATATTATTTGATTATTAATGTTAGTTATTTGAAATATTATTTAATCAAATTTTTATTGGCATAATTAATTATTTTCTAAATCATTGATAATCTTATTTCAAGCGACTGAAATTACAAAAAGAAGTGAAAGGAAAAGAATTATAACTATAAGCAAATTATTGTAAATAAAAGTTACTGTTGAAATATTAAAAGTTACATTGCTAATCGGATGTATTAATAAAATTTCAAAATTTGAATTAAACTTTTAATTCTCTTCTTCTTCTACTCAGTTTTTTTTGTATAATTGAATTTGTTTGTATTTTTTGCTTAAATAAATATATTATGAGTAATTTGAGCTAATCATTCTATTAAACATTCCGTGAACTAATATCAAAAAAGCTAAAACAAATTTAAATTAATTAAGTGATTATATTATTTTCTAATAATATAATATATATGTGTGTATAACTGAATCATTTGTTTATTAAATTCCATTCTATATTCTTTATTTTGTTTCATTTTATGTAGTAATAATAATTTAAACGATAGTTGAAAATTTAATTTTTTTTTAAAAGAAAAATAAAGTTTTAAATATTATATCCGTTTATTATCTTTTGTCATTATTTTCTATTTCACCTTTTTTTTTTTTTTTTGTAATTTTCTTTTTCTGTACAAAAATGGAAATATTTAATGTATTATATTTTGAAAAAAAATTTTTTTTCTTTTAAATCAAATTTGCTTTTTTAAAATCTTTTGTATTGATTGCATTATATTGTTATAGTTTTTTTGCAATTTTTCATATAAATTCTTTCTTTTTTTTTTTACTTCGTAATTGAAATCACTAAGAAAAATGATTCAATCATTTTTGAGTGCTTTTATTTATTTATTCTTTCTTTTGAAATAGAAATGTAAAATTGTAGCATAAAGGAAAACGTTTAAAATTTTTTATTTTTATAAAATTTTTCTTTTTTTTTTTCTTTCTTGATATTTCCAAGAGAAATGAAAAATGAAACGAGTAAAGAAGAGGTAGGAGGAGAGAGGGAGAGAAAAAAAAAGAAAATTTCGAATGTTTTCATGATGAGTAATCATTGCTTACTTTCTTTCACCTTTCTTCTCTTTTTTTTTTTTTTTTTTTTTTTTGTTCTGTTATTCTTTGTAGCATTATTTTAAATCCGTAAAATTTTTTTATCCCTCTTTCTCTCTCTCTTTCTTCCTCTTTTCTCAAATAGAATTAAGTGTAAATTATAAATACACTCATATACAATGCTTATAATCAGTATTAATTTTCTCCAAAAATAAAAAAAAAAGAAAAACGATTTTAATAATTGAAAAATTGGTAAATTAACTTTTTTTTTCTTATAGTTTGAAGAAAAAAAAAAATTCCAAATAAAAATTCAGTGAAAATTTTTTCTCTTTTTAAATCATAATTTTTATAAATTGTCAATCATTATCATTCAGTTTTAGATAACAGTGATAAATGAATATGACATTATTTTCCATCCTTTTTTTTTTTTTTTTTTAATATTTTAAAACATACATTTGCCAATCAGAAAACCATTTTAAAGCATCCATTTACTAATCGGAAAACCATTTTAAGACATTTTAAGGCATCCATTTACCAATTGAAAAATGATTTTAAAGCATGCATTCATCAATGAGGGAGCTATATATTTATTAAAAGCACAAAAAAAAAGTAAAATGAAGCAATAGTACTCTGTTAAGGTAATAAATATTACTTTTTAAATCAAGAAATAGAAATATGAATTTTTGTTTAAAATTCTCTTTTCTTTTTCTACGATTAAACATATGAGAGGGAATAAATTGTGAATGAAAAAAAATTGAAGTTATCAAAAAAAAAAAGGGGAAACGATAATAGTTAAGTAGATATAAATAAAATAATTAACTGATTGATTGATTGATCGATTGGTTGATTGACTAACCGACTGATTGGTTGGGTTGATTGATTGATTGACTGGTTGACTGATTGATTGATTGGCTGATTGATACTGTAAATATTATGCAATTTCCAAATGTGTTTCTTTTTTATTAAATAATAGTGTATTTGTTTAGTTACAAACATTTTAGAAATTTACTAAATTAAGTGAAAAGAAAAAAGGGAAGTGAAAATAGCAAGAAACAAATTTCAATTTCAACTATTATTTAATACTATCACCAGTATTGACCTTATTAATAATATCATTAAGTCAATTATTTAAATCCTCTCATCAGCTAATTATAGTTTGAGTAGTCATTGATTTATTAAGCAATAATAATAATTTACTAGTATTTTTATCAATATTTTTTCTCCTTTTCTTATTCTTCTTTCACATTGTAATACTCTTTTTTTTTTTGGTTGCTTACCTTATCACAAATTTTTTCAGTCATCTAATCTTTATACAAATTAAATGCTAAATTGTTTAACAATTTGGTGAATGTATTTAATAATTTGGAATTTTTTTTTCGAAAAAAAAAGACAAATAAATAATTTTTTTTTTTTTGATCGAAAAAAAATAAATATTTTCAAATGACTTATTTTGATTTTCATTTTTTTCAAAATATTTTATTTGGATTTAAAAAATTGGGTTTAAATTTTTAGATTTAAACTTTAATATATACGATATGAGATATTTTATGGCATTATTTTGGAACATAATATGTTTTATTTTATTTTTTTCTTTTTTTTTTCTCTCTCCCTCTCTTAATAGTAATAAATGAATATTTTTAATTTAATTTTAGGGTTACTTATCAGAAGTTGGTGCATCACTTATTGATCAAAAATTAAAATTAAATATTGTACCACAGACAAATGTTGTTGCATTAGCTGCTCCAACGTTTAATTATGGACGTATCGATCGTGCTAAAGCACGTACCAAACAACGGATACGAACACGTTATCCAGAAATTGGCAAACGTTTCCATCGAATTGGATTACCACCAAAGGTTCTTTTTTTTTTTCTTTTTTTTTTAATGGATTAAAATTGAGACAATAGATGAGAAAAGCAAATTTTACTATGAAATTACAAATTTTGTTTCAGATTTATAAATTTTTATTTTATAATAGTTTATTTATTATTTTCCATTTGACATCTTCTTTTTTTTTCACCCATACTTTTGATTTCGAATAATTTTTGAAAATTTGATCTAATCTGATATTTGAATTGAAATTGAACTATTTCAAATATGAAGAAATTTCCATTTTTTTTTTTTCCATCAAATAAGCAGAAGAATTATAGTTAGTATTTTGTTATAGTACGATAATTTATCGTTCATTTGTATTAGACATTTTTCTTATTGGTGACACGTCAACTAGACTAAGTCAATCATTTTGTTGAGAGAAAAAAAAAAAAAGCTTAAAATCATCCTTAGCTTATCTAACTTGCGTTATTTTATCACTCTCAGGGGATTTAGGAACAATTTTAAAAGAAACAAGAAATGAAATTGTAATAGTTTAGTAAATATCTGTCATATATTTCAAATAATGACAAAAAAAAAAAAAACTTTTTTTTCCTTTTATACATTTCATTGCAAATAAATGATAAATTTAGTAAATGAAATGAAATTATATGATTGGTAAATTTTATTTTTACAGGTTTCGATTGGTCTTTTTGATAGTTTTTAATTAAATTAAATGATTGATACTTTTTTTTTGTCTTTCAAGATTGGTAGTTTTCAATTATTTGTGAATGGTTATCAAGATGCTAGTTATTGGTTACGACAATGGGAAGTGCATCGAGAATTATCACCATCTTCGATTACGATGAAACGATTTCAGCATTTGTTTGAACGGATGGTTATATTAGATTATATTATTCGAAATACGGGTATTAATTATATTAATTTCTTTTTATATTTATTAGCAATAAATTGTTGCTTTTTTTTTTCTCTCTCTCTCTCTATCTGTCTTTCTGTTTCTTTCAAAAATTTGAGAATTAATATTCAGATCGTGGCAATGATAATTGGTTAATTAAATATGAACCAACAAATGTTATCAGTGCTGTACCACAAGATCCTACACCAGCAAAAGATGCGGTAGTTTTTTTTTTTTTAATTTTTTGATTTGTGAATTATAATTTAGAAGGATTTCTTTCTTTTTTAAAATGTTACTATTATTATATTGCAGGTGTTAGCTGATGAAATACCTGCTGCTAATGAAATTAGTGAAGGAATTGTACATACTCATAACAATAGTAAATTTTATTTAATATCATTCTTTACTGATTTAATTTTTTCATTTTATTCATTTTTTTTTTTGCTCTTTTTTTCTTTTATTTCTAAATTTTTCGATTTCTAAAATAATAATATTAAAATATTATGATAAAATTAATAGAATTAATAATAAATGAAGTAAGCATATGTTTCTTTTTTTTTTGGCTATTTTTAAAAATTACGACAATTTTTAATAAATTTTATTTGTATATGTTTGTATATAATAAAATTTTATTAGCAATTGGAAAAAATATCACCGAGCAACTTGTCATGGATATGTTAGAGTGTGATGTTAATATCGAAAATTGGGATGAAACGGAGGAGCCGAAAATTGATGTAGCAGCAATTGATAATGGATTAGCTTTTCCAATAAAACATCCCGATGAATGGCGTACATGTAATATTTTTCCTAAATTATCATTATTGATAAATCATTTGTTTCATTTATTTGATAATATTGATATATCAAAAAATTATGAGTAATACTGATATAAAAATTTAAAAAAAAATTAAAACTTAAAAAATTACAAGTTTACAAATAATATGTCTTGATTAGCTTGATTATGATTAGTGATAAATTTTGATCAAAATTGTTATTTAATTTAAAACATTTTTGTAAATTTCAGTTGAAGTATTCACGATTGATTATTTTAATTGAAATTAAATTTTTTTTAAATCCATTATCATTTCTCGTTTCTTTTTTTTTGATAGACACTAAACTACATTGAGTATTTAATTTATGAATACAGATCATATCATTTCAGGTGAATTGAATTTAAAATACATTTGATATTATATTTTAGGAAAATTTTCAATTAATTTCATTTTTATTCTATAAACTTTTTTAAAAATAGTTTTGTATTTTATTTTATTAGCATAATAATTGCTAAAAATGGAAAAAACGAAACAAATGAATCAAATAATTAACAGCATGAAAATGTTATATTATAGAAAATATAGAATAATTATGACAAGTATCAAATTAATTTTACTTTTTTTTTAAGTATATAAATAATTTTTTGATAGATCCATATCGGTGGGCTTGGCTACCGATGGCAAAAAATCCGTTCAGTGAGGAAATTGTTGATTTGGTACTTCCTCAATTGGATAATATAGATTTCGTGCGTGAACTTTGTAATGATTAAAAAAATTATTTCAGGTATGTTTTTTGATAATTTAGGGTTTTTATAATAGATTAAGCATTTTAGAGGTATAAAATTTAGTGGTAATAACTTTATCTCATCAATTTTTGATTTAAATTAATGTAAAAAATAACTAAGCGATTAAAATTTAGGCTAATGTAAAAGTATGATAGTGTGAAAATAAGTCAAAAATGATTTAGAATTTTTAAATTATATTCTGTCTTTTGTTTTGTTTTGTCTTTTTTTGTTTTTGTTTTAGTTGCATTGGATTTTATAAATATTTTATTTACCAAACCGTATTTTATTGATTTTTATTATATCAATTGAAAAAAAGAAAAATTACTTTTTTAACTAATAGTTTTAATTTAAAAAATTATACGAATTAATTGTGAATGAAAAGAAAATATATAGAAGGAAGTCACAGTTCCGTTTAATTAAATGATTTATTGAAATGATAAACAATTGTGCAAAAAAAAAGAAGGAAATTTTGTTTTTCTTTTTCTAAATAATTGTTGAAAAATTGATAGTTAAGTGGCGATATGTGATAAGTTTTACTTTAATTTTGAAAATATTACAATTTTCTATTTCAAAAAAAAAAAGAAATCCTATTAAATAATTAAATTAATTTTTTTTTTTTTTTTTTTTTTTAGAAGGATCCTGGTTTTGATAAGAAAATGTTCGAATTACAACTTAGTGTTTTAAGAGGACAAATTTTTAATCTTCGTGAAGCTTTACGTCTTCGAAAATCACCACAGCAATTGGTTCAGGTATACTCAAATGCAATTTTTATGAATTTTCAAATTAATTTATAATGGAATATTTTGAAAGAATATGTAAGAGATTATTTATTTATTTATTTACTTTTTTTTTTTTCTTTAAATCTCTGTATACCAGCCAATATGAATATTTATAAAACAAATTTTTATTAGATGCAACCACAACTGATAGTTGAAATGAAATCAAAAAAGAAACGACGATTACGTACAGTACCACGTGATACGCGATCATTAAGTACTACTGATGCAGGTTCTCGATTAATTATTATTTTGTTTTTGTTTGTTTTTTTTTTTTTTTTTTTTTTTTTTGGAAATTTTGTTAGCACATATATATTAATTACTGCTAAATACTATTTAGTAATACTATATTTCTGAATATTTCCAATGAAGTAATTAATTTTAATTTCATTACTTTTCCATGGAGTAATTTTTAATTTTATCAAAAATACTTATTCATCATATTAATTTTAGTTTGTTATAGTATTGAAAATTTTTATTGATTAAAAGAAGGAAAAAAGAAACTTGACGAAGATAATGTTAATAAGCAAACTAGTATTTTAGCTAAGTTATATTTTGAGTAATGAATTTAAAATTATATTAGTGTTTATTTATTGAAAATTACACACTAGCATTAATTGCTTCATTTTTTTTTAATTTTTAATGAATGAAATTTCTAAAATTTTCGCAGGTAGGATTGTCAACTTTTTTTTTTTTTTTTCCTTTTATTTTAAAGATTTTTATAACTCTTACAAAGTTTTACAAATGAAAATATGAATAAGCAATAAAAAGCATAACAAGTGCTAACAATTTAATCTTAATTAAATTAATTAATAACAAAATTTAATTTATTATAATTTAGGCGAAGAAACTCTTACTGATCATCCATCATCATCTACTCTATCACTATCACAAGGCCAATGGCAAAATGTTGAGCCAAAAACATGGCCTGAAAGTTATCAACAAAAAGTTCAAACACGATCAGCTTTTTTTACCTGGTGGTAAATTTATGAATGAAAATCAATAATACATGCTTTACTGATTTATGAATAAAATTTAATATTTGTTATGTTACAACACACTGATAATGTTTGATAAATTGCATAGTTGTTAAAATCATTGTTACACTTGATAATTAATAATCTGATAATAATTCAATTGAAATATTATTTTTCAAAAAAGAAATAATGAAATTTGTTAAATTTCTATCCAACATTTTGTTAAAGTTTTATCCATTTTTATGTTATTTTAATTTTATTTTTCTATATTTATTAATTATTAATTAATTCTTTATTTTATTTCATTTTTTGCACCTATTGGTAGTAATATTAATTGTTTTTTTTTTTTTTTTTTTAATATTTATTGATAGTAGTAATAAAAGTAGAATTTAGATTAATTGTGCTATGGTAATTTCGGAAATTTTCAACAACAATAATCGTTTATAATAAAGTAGAAAAAAAATGAAGCAAAAAAGAAAAATAATAAAATAAAGAAAAAACAATATATTTCTGATAAATATATTAATAATAGTGGAAATAATTACTAAAGGTAAACGCTTAATTGATTGAAATTATTAAGATGTACGAAAAAAAAAAAGTATTTTTTTAAAAAGAAATTTCTTTTAAAATATTTTGATTAGATTTATTATCAATTAAATTTTCAACGGTTAAAGTATCATGGAAGGAAAAAGCAGAATTAGAAATCAAAATAGTAGTTAATATTTTGAAATGCTGACAAAAGTAAAAACAAGAAAAAGTTTTCTTTTAAAAACAAAATTTAAAATACAAATAATTGAGTGTATTGATTTGATATAAAAACTTATTTTAGCTTAATATTGAATAATAAGTCACTCCTTTCATTCCGTTTTTTTTTTTTTTTTTGTTTAGGACATTTTTTTCCTTTTTTGTTAAATTTATAATTGCAAAGTGTTAGTTTTTATCATTCGAACAATTAGTTTTTGTGAAATTAATTCAGTATATTACGCTAAACTCATTCCTTTATATGTAAATTTGAAAATATCTAATGAGTCACATGAATTAAACTGTTCAATTCACAAAAATAATTATGATATGGAAATGAATGGTAATACTTTTATCACGTTAACTTATGCTAGATAACATTTACTTATTTGTCTCTCTTACTCATTAAAAAGAAAAAAAAATTAAAATTTACTTCAAATAAACATAAAAAAATTCGAGTCCATTTCATTCAAATCTAAAAAGTGCCCTCATATAAAAATTTATTTGTCTTTTTTAAATTAGCATAAATGATTTGTAATAATAGTTTTTATTTTCAAATTTCATAAATTTTTCATAAAAAAATAAATTTAATAATTAGATTTTTTTTCTTTTTTCATACTGACAAAACAAAACTTTAGCAATCTATTTAATCACTTTTGTTTGCTTAAATCTTATCATTTAATAAATTTTTCAAATGTATAATCACATCTTGTATATGCGTCGTTAGAGGATTGTATAATGAAACAAATCAAATTTACATTTTTTTTTTTTTTTTTCTGCTTGTAATGGAATTGAAAAAAATTCCTAAATGCTTTCTAAAATATGTAATTGAAAGTTTAGTAAAATAAAAAAATAATAATAAATTTGAACAGGAAAAAAAGTGATGTAAACTGATTTTTCCATGAAAAATTTGGAAAATTTAACAGATTGTCTATCAACCTGGATACTTCCTCTTGAGCATTTTTATTGGTGTAAATAGAGAACGAAAGGAAAGATAAATTGAAGGATTTAAATCGTTATTTTGTTACTTTCTGTTGTACATTTGAAAATTTTATTGAATAACATGTAACTAATTTAAATCTTTACTTTTCCTTCTGTATTTTAATTCTTTATTTAATTTAGGCTATATTTAATCAAATTAAAAAGAAAAAAAAATTGTAGGGATCGATAATGAATGTCTCTAGAATTTAAAAAAAAAAAGCAAAAAAAAAGTGGATTAAAATGAATCAATTAAAATGAAATCATTTCCGCTTGTTTAAAAGAATATTTACCTGCTATTACATAAAAGTAGAAAGTGTAGAGAGAGAGAGGAGAGAGAGAGAGAGAGAGAGAAGTTTGAATGGTTATTTTTCAACTTTTATAAAAAAGGAGAAAAAGAGAGGGAGGGAAAGGGAGGGAGAGAGAAAGATGGCAATACATTAGTCTGTGAAAAAGTTGGCGAAGCGTAAAATTACTTATCAAATTTGTTTACATTAAATATTTATTATTTAATAAGTTTTTTTTTTGATCGATATATGCACAAATATAATATAACATAATATTATATATATATATGTAAATGGTTAAAGCCTTTTAAAACGAAAATCCATTGCATATTTTAATTACATTCTGAAAGAGAATCTCATTTTCATTGAAATGTTAATAACATAACAAAAATGACGGCAATGGCAACAATGAATGGTTAAAAGATGATTGAATGATTGAAATAGATCAATGAAAACGGATGATGGCATTAAATTTAAAAAAAAAAAAATTATTTTGTGTTTTTTTTTTTCTTTTTTTCATCAAAAAACGTTTTATCAAATGTTGTTATTACTATAATTATTATTGTTCTCCTATATAATGCAACAGAAAAAAAAAAAAAAAGAAGGAAAAAGAAAAAGTGTTCCGGATAATATTGCTTTAACCGTTATACTTTTCGCATATATTTAAAAAAAAAAAAAAAGACCGATACCACTCATTCATTTTTGCATATTTTTTAGAGGCCAAATCATCTCTTCACAAATTTGTATATATTATTTTTCTCACTTTTATATATTTATATGCATATACGTTCTGTTTTTTTTTTTTTTTTTTTTTTTCCATTTTCATTTTCATTTATTTTATTCTAATAATCATTCCCTTTTCATCATTTCTTTCTCTCCCTCTCTCTCTCTCTCTCTCTCTCTCCTCTCTCTCTTCTGATATATGAAATAAATGAAATCAGCGATACCAATAAATTTTTTTTAAATTTTAAAATTTTATTTTTTTTTTTGAAAAACTTTATTCTCTTTACTATCATTATTATAAGTCTTTCACTTTTTTTTTCTTATTTCTTTCTGTCTTTTCTCTTTTTTCTTCCAAAAATATATTTGATGAAATCTTTGTTATCAAATTCAAATTTTTCTTTCTTTTGTTTCCTCTTTTTTTTTGTAGTGTGTATTTGAATAATGCTTATTAAATAACATAAGTATTATATAAGAACTGAATTTAAAAATTCTTTATTGATAAGATATATTTATACATGACATTTTATTGTATGCAATGATTTATGCTTGTAAGCAAAATTATATTTTTCCAATTTAATATCAAAGATTTTTAGTGCTTTATTGGAGCATACCAGTGATTATATATTTGATTCCATTGTTTGTTTACATATTTTATCAAATGACATTATGAATTCTGTAATCATCAAATATTTCTTCACAATCAAATATCTATTTCTATTTCCATTTCTATTTTCTATTTATCTTTCCACTCTCATTTATTATTCATTCCACCATTAATTTTTTCATTTTTCCTTTTCACTTTTTCCTTTTTATCTTCCCCAATTTTTCTTTTCTTTCCTTTTTCTTCCTTCCTTCCCTTTTTTTTTCCTTTTTTATTATTAAAGAAAGGTTTCGTTTTTCTTTTTATTCTCTTTTTTTTTTTTTTATTTCTTTGTCTCCTTCTTCTCTTTTCATATATTTGGCCTAAAATAAGTTTAATGAGAAACAGAAAATTTTGTTTCCTTTTCTTTTTTGGTTATAATTAAAGTTAATTTTTTTTTTTTTTTTTTAAATTATTGATAATGCTACGATGTATGTGAAATTTTAGTTTTCTTTTTCATACAAATTTTATATTGGAACTTTTTGATAGCACTAAGTGGAGGAAGTTATTTTGTACATTCCTTTCAGAAATTTTATCCTTTTTTTCCTGCAAAAAATTAAAATAAAATGAAACTAATCTCATCAAAATTTGCTTTTTTTTTTTTTTCAAATTATCATTTTTTATTAGAATTAAAAATTCGCTGTATCACATTTTTTTGTGTAAAATATTATTTGAATATATAATGTATGTTAAAATAGAAGATCTAAGCATACGTGTACACATCGTAATTTATGTACGATGTACAGGTGTAATACGAAATTTATGTACGATGTACACGTATAATACGTAATTTATGTACGATGTACACGTATAATACGTAATTTATGTACGATGTACAGGTGTAATACGAAATTTATGTACGATGTACACGTGTAATACGAAATTTATGTACGATGTACACGTATAATACGAAATTTATGTACGATGTACGCGTATAATACGTAATTTATATACGATGTACACTACGTATGTTTAAAAAATGAAATGATAAAAAGAAAAATCTCACAATAAATAAAAGAAAAAAGAAAATAGAAATAACTAAACGATTTTTTTTTTTATTTTTTTTCAAAGAAGTGTTAGTTGAAAATATTGCTCATAAGTAAAAATTCTTTCTTTCGTTTTTTTTTTCTTTTTTTTGCAAAAAAAAAAAAAAGTCTTAAAAGATAAATTGTAGGGAAAAGTGGTATAGAAATAGTTTGTCAAAATCAAATGAAATTTTCGGAATTCATATGATTATAATGAGATGGGAATGAATTTCAAAAATTTTCATTTTCTCATTACTGACAAATTTCATTTGCCGACGGACAACTTTTAATATGTCCCTAATATAAAAGTTAACTTCGTTTTTGTTTAAATTGACTTTAACAAATTACCTTAATTGAGAATAATTGCGACACTTAAATTTTCACGAAGGACAAATTTCTCTTTCATAATTATCTGGTAAGCAAGAAATTAATGTCATCTTCATTTGACTTCTCGACCTGAATTACATATTTGCACAATTTCATATCATCCTTTTAAACAATCTATCAGTTTCCTTCTCGAAATGTAACATTAAATAAAAGATGTATTTAATGTTTTTTCTTTTTTCTTTTCCTTTAATTCAAATTTAACCTAAATTGTTTTTTATTAATGATT